CTGGGTAATGCCAAGTTTCCATCTACTTGCGCTTCCTTCCAGGGGGTATCTTGTTTTTGATTCTATCTCCGCCCTTTCTTCTGGACAGAAAATAAACAAGAAACAAAAACTCTATTGGAACAAAAATATGAATTTCTGGAAAACATTAAAAGCACTAATTTACGAATACATTCATCCAAACAACATTTACTGAGCACCTACTATGTGTCAGATGTTGCGTGCTAGTCACTAAAAATAAAAAAGAATATAGCATGGTGCTGTCTCCAGGTAGCTCACAGTCTTGAGTGGGCAGGACAAAAGTGCTGAGAATTCTCTGACACATCTGGACACATCTGGGGGTGCTTCTCATGGTGGGGCTTGTTCATTAGACCCCATCCAGAAGTGCCGTATAAGTCTCCAGGAATTACAAACAGGAGAGATTTGACCATTTATCATTTGAAGACCTTGGCTAACTGAAATAAATCCACATTTTAATAATATTTTGAATGGGTTGATAAAATAGGAACAGATGGTTAAAGTGTGTCATTTTAGGGAAAATAATGAAATATTGCACTGCTTAATCCATCTTCCTGTCACACTCTTCCCTATCCCCTCCCTACTGAAAATATATTCAGATGCAACAAAACTTAAAGCAAAACACTAATATCTTCTTAGACAATTTAGGTCTCTTCACCTGAAGGGGCTCTAACTGTGTCAGCCATCTCTGTGTTAACTTCATCTTTTTTTTTTTTTTTTTTTTTCAGACTCCACCCAGGCTGGAGTGCAGTGGAGCAAAATCTCGGCTTACTGCAACCTCTGCTTCCCAGGTTCCAGTGATTTTCCTGTCTCAGCCTCCTAATTAGCTGGGACTCCAGGTGTATACCACCATGACTGACTAATTTTTGTATTTTTAGTAGAGATGGGGTTTCACCATGTTGACCAGGCTGGTCTTGAGCTTCTGGCCCCAAGTCATCTGCCTGCCTCAGCCTCCCAAAGTGCTGGGATTACAGGAGTGAGCCACTGTGTCCATTTGTGTTAACTTACTTTGAATTAGCCCCTTATTCTAAAGTTGCCTCCTGAAAGGAGGCTTCCTAAAAGGTGTTGCTTTGGGATAAATAAGGGGTGGTGGTGAAGTGGCACTAGCTTGCGCGTCTCTCTGCCACGAAGAAAATTAGCTATGCAGATGTTTTACAACCACAGCAGACCCACTCCTTGAAGAACCCAGAAGGGCAGAAGTAAGTTGGGTAATGTGTTCTTGAGCCTTCCATTTACCTGACCCTGGGGTTCATATGGGTATAAGCTCCAGCTGCTGGCACTTCCTGATCAAGAGAAGGCAGAATGTCACCACTATCACCTGCACTTTGTTTGGATTTGCCTCTATACCCATTGCATTTCTCTGAAGATTTTTTCTACCATTCTGCTTGGACAGAGCATCAGATGAAATCAACTGCTGAGAGAGGGAAGTGAGTGCTGTGGTGGCACCGTTGCCAGAACTCTTGAGAATGAGCATCGTGTGCCACTTACCCACTGCTTGCCGACTTCAGTAGCAAGAGCCTCCAGAATGCTCATGGATAAACATCATCTTTGTGGCCACACATTGTTTTATGAGCTGAGTCATCAGACTGGCTGGCTCCTTAAGTGCTGCTGTGTGATTCTCCAGGCAGCAGAAAATAAGGAGAGAAGATTAGAAGTGTATCTCATCGAGCTTTGCAAAGGGCCAGTATCATTCACCAAAGGTGATGGGGGATTTACCGTTATGGAGTTCGCTCGTGATAAAAAATTATTGATCAACTTAAACTCTAAGAGAAAAAGATGATGCTGTCTGCATTTCTTGTAAATCATTTATAAAATTTGTTTGGTTATAGGCTTTTTTTTTTTTTTTTTGAGACGGAGTCTCGCTCTGTCACCCAGGCTGGAGTGCAGTGGCGCAATCTTGGCTCACTGCAAGCTCCGCCTCCCGGGTTCACACCATTCTCCTGCCTCAGTCTCCCGAGTAGCTGGGACTACAGGCGCCCACCACCACGCCCGGCTAATGTTTTGCATTTTTAGTAGAGATGGGGTTTCACCGTGTTAGCCAGGATGGTCTCGATCTCCTGATATCATGATTCGCCCGCCTCGGCCTCCCAAAGTGCTGAGATTACAGGCGTGAGCCACTGTGCCCGGCGGTTATAGGCTGTTTTTAACAGCCACCAGTCTTAACGAATTTCCTGTAGAAAACTTGATTCCTTTCTTGCTCATCAAGTTGCAATTTATCATCTAAGGTAATGAGTTAAACCTAAAAGTAACAGTGACATAAGTCAAACTGTTTGCATACTTTGTTTCTTAGATAAATTGCTCTATCATATTTATCTTTTATATAGCTACTCAATAAGACATTGCAATGAATTTTTAATTAAAACCAATATGTCTATAACAAAGAAATTTAATTAATTAGAGTTTCTGAGTTTGCAGATTTGTGACTTGCTGAGGTAAATATCTCAGTTCTCTCTTCCAACCTATTTCATTATGGTCTCAGAAAACATACAGGGAGATCATTCACCCAAGACTGTATGTTAAATTCACGTTAGGTGGTAGGCACTATGTTAGTCTCTGTGTAAGGTAAAAATAATTGAAGAACAATCCTTGTCACTGAAGAAAAAAACAGATGTTTGCCAATGTGAGAAGCAGACCCATTTGATTTCTTGGAGAAGGGTGGAATGAGTAAGTGCTACAGGAAAGGACATAATGGGTGTGAAAAATCTAGCTGAACTAACGGCAGTTGGGGAAGTCTTCCTCAGGAAAGTGGCCCTGAGACAGCTCTTGGAGGATGATGCAGATGTGTGGGTTTCAAGACTAGAGGACACGAGTTGAGGGAAACTGTATGCAAAAGCCCAGCCAGAACCAGGCAATGGTCTGAAGTTGGGATGGCCCTGGGAAATTCTGGGAAAGTAGTTTCCAGGAGGTGATAGTGTCAGAATGCAGACCTTCAGGTGCTGAGAATCAAATGAATTACATTGAAATAAAAGGATTTGGAGTGGATGATTCTCCTTTGTAGTCAGATGGAGAGAGGAGGAAGAGAGAGGAAATGGGGGGATGAGGGTACCCATAGGGCAGGTCTTCCTGGGACTGCAGAAGGAGTCTATGGAGCAGGTCAGGGTGAAAATGGGAGATGGGGCAATGATAGTTGAGGATCCTGAGAAGCAGTAGGTAGTGAGCCTGGTGGTGGCGAGAACACAAAGCAGAGCGATTGGAGAGGAGGGAAGGTTACTATGCTGAGGGTCTTGATTTTCAGAGGCAAGCTGGAAGGTAGCTCATATGCTGGGAGAGTGTGTGTGTGTGGTGTGTTGAGTAGACTGGGAGCCTGAGGAAGGAAAGGATCAGAGCAGATGCTAGGGGGATAAGAGAGCAGGTGCACGGTCCTGCTGAAGGCCAATGTGTGCTATGCCCTTTTGCTTGAACTCACACAATCTAAATTTATACAAATAGCAAGAGTGTAGGAATCCAGGCTTACTAAGTCCCTTCCTTCTCACTTTGGTCCCTTCTTTTTCTTCCCTGGTTGGGTTTAATGCCCTTCCACCCTGGAGCTGAGATGTGCAATCATGGAGAATTTTCTTCATCTGGGAAAGTCATAATCTAAGATGGATTCAGACTGGGAAAAAGAGTATAAACTTTGGAAAAACTGGCCCTAGGCTCTGTGACTGTCATCACATACAGCAGACAAGGGAGTGAACTTAGAGGATGAAATAAGAGCTTTAAGGTTGTTCCCCGAAGGCCTGCGTAGCTCAGCCCCACTTGTTGACTAGCTCCCTGGAGAGTTCTGTAAGAATGTGGCTTCATTCCATAGTATACTTCCATGGTGGCCACTGGGGAGGGGTCTGTCTTCTCGGACAGTTAGCTCTTTCGTTATGTTGTTGGACATCCCTGCTACCCCTTATTAGAAGTGTATCTGGCTATTGAGAAATTCTATCATTCACAGAACAGACATTTTCTGGGCAGGAGTGGGCAGCTATGATTAGTGAGGGGAGGAGCCTAAAGATCGGAAGGTGCAAAGGGGTGGCCATAACCCAGGAGAGCACAATCAGGCCTGGGAGGAGTTACCAATAATGACACTTAGAAGGAAGAATCAAGATCTGTTGATTACAAGATATTCTTGTACTAGTCTGGCTTCCCATGCAACAACTATACACCAGGTGCTGGGTTGGTGGTGAGGGGTTAGAAAGATGATTTTAGCCTGGAGTTTGCCTTCTGGGAGCTGACAGTCTTATAAGGGAAATAAGACAAATTGAACATAGCTCCAATTCCAGACAAAGAAGGAAAGGAGCCTATGGGTCAGGGCAGGCTTCTTGGAGGTGAGGGGCTGAGCTGGACTTTGAAGGTTGTGGGGGTGTCTGAGAGTGCTAGTGAAGGATGACACTAGGGTTTTGACTTAGTAATGCTAGTAACAGAGATGGGCAAATCTGCTGGGATTAGGGCATGTGGTCCAAATGTAGGTGTAAAGGAGAAGTTCTGCAGTTCATGGTCTTTGGTAAGTGGTTGACTTGGGGGTCACAAGGTGACATTTACAGGCATCAGAATGAATGGATTCTTAGGGAGGAGAGAGAGCAGGAGTTTCCCGTAGGAGCCTGTACTTAGGGCCCCAAGGGAGGCAGACACCCAGGAGCAGCAGAGGCCGTGTCCTGGGTAGGAACCTGAAGGGCCCAGTGAAGTGCTTCTTTACTAGCAAGGCAGCTGTGATTGTTCTGGCCCCAAACATTCACCACTCAGGCCAACTTAGAGAAGCAAGAACCCAGGTGTCAGCGGCCTCAGCCCAGAGTGTATCCAGGAGAGTGCACCCCACCTAGTTCCCTCGTGGCGACTCCACCCTGCGGACCCTGGGAATGCACAGGGTGGCTCCGGGGACCTTTCCGACAGCACTGTGGGTGACACTGGGATGGGTCTGAAAATGGTGTCGTTTCCTCCTTTTCCAGATCTCCCCTCTCCGAGAAGGAGGCCTGTGGCCATCTCCGGGCGCCGGCAGGAGGCACTGGAAGCGGAAGCGAGTCTGGAGTCCGGGTAGAGGGAGTCGCCCACCTGACCGGCCTCGCCCCCTCCGGAGTTTGCTGCAGCTGAGGGCCCCAGACCAGCGAAGAAGCCAGTCTGGGGCCGGGCAGTCCAATCGCTTTTCGCGTATTTCCCTCCGCTGGCGCGCAGCAGCGGCGCGTGGATTCGCGCGCGGGCTCGGGACGGCGCGAGCCCGGGCAGCGCGAGCCCCTGCGCGGCAGGGAGTGGCGCATGCGCGGGCGTCCTGCGAGCCCGCTGGGGCGAGCCGAGCCGCGGCGGCGCCGGGCGGCGGAGCTGTGAGGCAGCAAGCGGCGGCACTGGAGCAGCGGCGAAGGACAGGTGGCGAGCCTTCGCCCGCGCCGCCAGGGGCTGCTGGGCCACCCGCGGAGCCTCGCGGTCCAGACGTGGAGGGGGTGGTGGCGGCATCCCGGACGGCCTGTGAGGGATGCGCCGCCCACTGCCCCGCGCCGCCTGACCGTCCCCGCCTCGACTCGCGGTGCGCCACAGCCGGGCCCGCGGCCGTCCCCGCCGCGTTGTCGCCCGGTTGCCGCGCCCGCGGGGCCGCGCCCGGCACGGTCATGTGGACCCCCACGGAGGAGGAGAAATACGGTGTAGGTAGGTGAGGCTCCGGCCTGGCCTTGACTGGGGTTCTGAGGGACGCGCCCAGCTCCCGGCCCCGCCTGGATTCGCATCCTTTCGCCCCCGCCCCTGCCCGCAGGCTGCGCGGCCTCGGCGCCGGGCTAGCGCGGGGTGGGGGCGGGTGCGGATGCGGGTGCGGGGGTGGGCGCGGGTCTCTATGCAGAGAGGGCGGCAGGGGGCGCTGGCGGTGCGGCCTTGGCAGGTGCGGCCCGCGGGAGGGGTGGGCAAGGCCCGGGCAGTTGCCCGAGGTTTCTGGTGTGGGCCACGGGGCAATTTTACCCGAGAAGCCAAATTCTGGGAATATGTTTTTTTCGCTCCAGAAGCTCAATTTTAATGAGTTTCCGCACCTGAGTTGATGAACCCGGTGGCTGTTTATTTTTGGTCTGGAACCTTAAACAGATGAAAAACGTTGACATCATTTTCTCAGTTCAAAAATTTGGACATTTGACTGCAAATGTTTGATCTGTTTTGTTTTGCCGTTAGTGTTAGAAATAATACTTTACAATGGGAAATGTTTTTGGACATGTATCAATGTTTAGATATTTTATAGACACGGGTTTTTTTTTTAAAACCTGTTTTCAGTTGAGACCCTATTCCTCTTAGAAACCTTTTTTTATCTAAGTGTTAAACTCCAGAAGCTAAATAACTCTTACAGTATTCTACTTTAAAAAGAATATTCAGTAATTTAAAGTATTGAATGTTTTACAATTTTAGTTTTTTGTGTCAATTACATGATAGAGTTAAGCCTCATTGCATCACCTATCATCTTGTTCAGTTAGAAACAGATTTAAAATGTTGAGTGTACAGGTTTTGTTTTTCCTAAGCTCGTAATGGAAAATTTTAGATAGGAAATCTGTCTAAACAGATTTTTGTGTCCCATCTTTACTGCAATTTAGTCAAGATTTAGTTCACAGTTCACTACCAAATAACTTGAAACTGCGGTGGTAACGAGTGTTTTGGAATGCTATTAGGCAGGTTATCATGTGAAAATGAAATTTATTTAAATTTGAGGACCAGCAGAGAGGTCTTCTATTCTGGTAGAAAGTCTTGTTTTAAAAGGAAACTTTGTGAAACAATTAGCTATGCTAGGATGGAGGTGATAACGGGAGCTCTGGTCCTAGAGTCTCTATTGAGAAGGAATTGGGAAATGATGCGAAGAGCTAGGATTCACCTCTAAGGACATTTTACCCCTTAGAGTATTCCCTGAATACTGAATTGATTCTGTAAAATGAGGAATTGGTGGTTTATCTTCTCCATAACTCGCTCCCAGAATAACAAGTAATTAATGTGAGTGGTCAACTCCCCAGTGGCACCCCATGATTGAGTTTTTTGGAGGGGAGAGGAGCCCTTTTTTTGGGGTGGGGAGGAGCCCTTGAATAGTGAACAAAGTGGAATTCAGAGTCCTAGCTTCTCTTTACTGGTGGTGTGGGCAAGTAATTTAACATCATTTTCTTAATGTATAAATTGGGGATAATGTTTACCTATCTTACAGGGTTGTGAAAATGAAATGAGAACATGCGGAATGCCTAATAAGTGTTAGTTTCTTCTTTTTCCCTTAGTATTTAGACTAATAACACTAAGTGTGTTAGTTCTGAGACAGAGCCAATGCAAGGTAATCAAGATAGGTACATGTGAATCTGAAAGCACTAGGATTTGGTGTGTGATTTACCCAGCAAGATGCAACGGAATTCTTGCATTCCTAGGACTGTGTGTTTAGCTTTAGAAAAATTGTTACACCCTTTGGGAGGCCACTGCATTGGGCTCAGGGCAGAGCTTAAATGCTTGCTAAATGGGAGAGACAGTTACACTGAAGATATTTTCATAGCAGCTGTGGTTTAGTATAATTTAGATGCCTTTTCTACCAAACCAAGCAACTCTCTCCCTGTTTATCTCACAGTCTTCTACTGTCCCCTCCTTAGTTATGATCTAAAAGTTTTTGTGTAAATTGTTTAAAACTCAGGACACAATTTTTTTTTTTTTCCCGTAAGGATGTTAGGGCTACACTTCTAGACCTTTTCATAAAATCCGCTTTATAAAGTAGCTTATACATTATACTTATGAGAAAAATAGTCAATTAAAATGGCATTTTTGCCGCATCATTTAATTGCTATGAGGGCTAGCTTGAAAATTTAACCATTATCATTTTCCTGTGAGAAAATGTTTGAGTTTCAGCTTTGATTTTTATGACTAAGTTGGAGCACAGATTTCTGTTTCTGTTTGTCAACCTATAACCATATAGCAGGGAGGGAAACCCCTTATATTTAACTTCCTACCAGTTTGGAGAAATTTGTGGAGGAGGGCCTCGAGGGCCTCCTTTTGCCCTGGTATTAGTGAGGGAAGGAGTCTCCTGTTGCAGCAGTACAAAGGGTTTTTTCCACTGCAGCTGTTCATTTGTATTTGACATTGGTAAGGCTTTGAGATCCTATAGTAATATCTTATTAAATTTTTTATAATATAGGAATTCTGTACAGGTTATAACATGACTGAATTGTTTGGTTTATTCATTTAGGATGAGGTGATTACTGAGCTCCCCTTTCCATTGTAATATTCTGTGAGTGACTTTAGGCAGTGGGGAGGACATTATCCTTTTCGGAGGGTCAGTGATCGGCCTGTCAATGTGCTCGGGACTCTCACTTAGGTAACCCCGTGTCGATTCCCAGAGTAGTCTTAAGACTATCACAGATGAAGAAACTGAATCCCAAAGATTGTTAATTTTTTTTTTTTGTCTTTCAACGATTGTATATTTTCCTTAATTTTCTTCTTGGCAGTGGGCAGTATTTTGTGATATACTTGGCTGTCTTGCTTTCTTTCTCTGGTACTGTAAGGTACTGTTCTTTACCGTACCCATTGGCCCGTGTTTTGACTTCTTATGTCTCTTTCCCTCTTAGAGAATCTCTGCTTTCCTTTCTGTTGCTATGAATGCTTGGAAAGTCCTGCATCCTTCCATTCTTTATTCTACCTTTCCAAGAAGCTTCCTGCTCTAAAGTGTATTAGCTGAGAAAAATCCAGCTATTTTTGTGAAACACCTGTCTTTCCCTATACTGACTGTACCCAAAGTACCAAATGTAGAATACAAAAACCAAGAAAATACTTTTCTTACCCTCTAACAGGAGCAACAGCAGGAGCAACAAACACCAAACAATTTTTAAAACAAGAATGTTTGTAATTAAATTCCTTGAATAGAGAAGCGGTAAAGGTTTGAGTATGTATGTATTAGTTTGACGTCTTAGAAGTGGAAGCTGCTTCAGGTCATCTTGTTTATTCTTCTGCTGTCGTGGGCAATTTTTTTTTTTTTTTTTGTTTGAGAGATGAGATCCTGCTGTTGTCATCCAGGCTAGAGTGCAGTCGCATGATCATAGCTCTCTGCAGCCTTGAACTCCTGGGCTCAAGCAGTCTTCCCACTGTAGCCTCCCAAGTAGCTGGGACTACAGGTGTTTACCACCTTGCCTGGCTAATATTTTTTTTTCCTTTTTTTGAGATGGAGTCTTGCTCTGTCGTCCAGGCTGGAGTACAGTGGCGTGATCTTGGCTCACTGCAAGCTCCGCCTCCCGGGTTCATGCCATTCTCCTGCCTCAGCCTCCCGAGTAGCTGGTACTACAGGTGCCCGCCACCATGCCTAGCTAATTTTGTTTTTGTATTTTTAGCAAAGATGGGGTTTCACTGTGTTAGCCAGGATGGCCTCGATCTCCTGACCTCATTATCTGCTGGCCTTGGCCTCCCGAAGTGCTGGGATTACAGGTGTGAGCCACCATGCCCAGCCTTGCCTGGCTAATTTTAAAATTTTAATTAAAAAAGTATTTTTTAGTTATATGGTCTTGCTATGTTGCCCAGGCTTGTCTCAAACTGCTGGCTTCAAGTTATCCTCCCATCTCAGCCTCCCGAGTCACTGGGATTATGCCTGTGAACTGCTGTGCCCAGCTAAGGCAAATTTTTAAATAATTTAGGGCATTTATTGCTTATTTTTTCTTAATCCCTTTTAGTAGAACATGAAAAATTTTTTTCATTACCAATCTGAAGACCTTACATTTTAGTTTTGTAATGTTATATTTTTTCCTATTTAAAAAGTAATGCATATTTTATGCATTATTTTTACCTAATTTCCTTTTGGTTAGGTTTCCCCAGATAGGGAAGAAAAGCACTTAAAAACAAAAAAACAAAACAAACAAACAAAAAAAAACGAACCCTGAGTCCTTAAAAGAAACTTGTAAAGATCCTGTGGTGCAGGAAAATAATCTGAAGGTGGGGAGAGAATAGATCCTTGAAACCAGATCTGAAATAATTAGTGTTCACAAAATTTGAGTAAATCTGTTGGTAAATGTACTAGAATTCACACTGTCTGAAGACAGTATGCTCTTTAGGTATTTATTCAGTGAGGGAAGCCCAACCTTTGCAACCTCTGGAAGGACCCCAATACCCCTTTAGAGGTAAAGACATCATCCACTAGGGGTAGGAAAGATTTCGTATACCTATAACTTTATTTTGTTCTGAAAAGTGAGGATGTGCTTGATGTCTTGTTTAGTGTTTATGGGGAACTTCCACATTCATGATTCTGCTTGAGCTTTACACTATATCACCACCTCTCCCCTCTTTTTTAAACAGATGAGAAAGAAGCTTTAGCTGAGAGAAATTAAGTAACTGATCTAAGGTACTTTAGATAGTAAGTGCTGAGTTGAGATTTGAACGTAGAACTTTGAGATTCTAAGCCACAGATTGTATTATTACACTGTGTCCTCTGAGAGGAATGTGTCAGTAGTATGACTCTGGCTTGAAAGATGAGATATACTCTACAGTTTTCAATTTAAACTGGATAGTTACATTTAAGGAATTTTATTTCTGTATTGGACTTTTTAACTTTTTTTTCCTTTTTCTTTTTCTTTTTTTTTTTTTTTTAAAGACAGAGTCTTGCTGTGACGTCCAGGCTGGAATGCAGTGGTGTGATCTTGGCTCACTGCAATCTCCACTTCCTGGGTTCAAGT